TACCTGCCCATCAACAGTGACCTGTCCCCTAACCACAACTAAAGGGGAAAGTGCCAGAGCAAATCCTCACTGTTACTACTTGATACAGATACCATCTACCCCAAAAAAGAAGGATTCTAAGAAAAAGTGTAGTGTCTCACACCACAAGGCAACCCCAACAGTGGAAGGACACACAATTCATGTCAGCAATGTGGAGTGGCACTCTGTATGAATCTGTGGTTCATGGAGTATCATACAATCCAGGACTTCTAAAATCATTGCTGGGACCTATAAATAACTTGTATATAATTGTAGACAATAGTATGTGACTTAGCCAGGTGTACAAATTCACCTATAAGAATATAAGAAGAACATAAGAAAGAAGGAACACTGCAACAGGCCTACTGACCCATGCAGAGCAGGTCCATGTCCCCCCCCCCAGATTAGCCCAATCACCCACCCCCCTGGACTAGTCCAATGACCCACCCAGTCTGGTCACCTCCACTCAAGGAAGGAGCACAGCACCAGACCCAGCAGCACAAGCTAGTTAGGTCCAACTCACACCCACCCACACCCACTCATGTATTTATCTAACCTATTTTTAAAACTACACAACGTTTTAGCCTTAATAACTGTAGACAGGAGTTTGTTCCACTCATCCACAACTCTATTACCAAACCAGTGCTTTCCTATGTCCTTCCTGAATCTAAATTTTTCCAACTTGAAACCATTGCTGCGAGTCCTGTCTTGGCTGGAAATTTTCAGCACGCTATTTACATCCCCTTTATTTATTCCTGTTTTCCATTTATACACCTCGATCACATCCCCCCTAATTCTATGCCTGTCGAGAGAGTGCAGATTCAGGGCCTTCAGTCTATCCTCATAGGGAAGATTTCTGATACATGGGATCATCTTTGTCATCCTCCTCTGTACATTTTCCAGAGCATTTATATCCATTCTGTAATACGGTGACCAGAACTGAGCAGCATAGTCTAAATGAGGCCTAACCAAGGATATATAGAGTTGAACAACTTGAGGACTTCTATTATTTATACTTCTAGATATGAAGCCAAGAATTCTGTTAGCTTCATTGCAAACACTAATGCATTGTTGTCTTGGTTTTAGATTACTGCTAACCAGAACTCCTAAATCCTTTTCGCAATCAGTATTATTAAGATCTACATTATTTAGTTTATATGTGGCATGGTTATTTACCTGTCCAACATTTAGAACTTTGTATTTGTCAATATTAAACTGCATCTGCCACTTCTCCGACCATTGCATCAGTCTATTCAAATCATCCTGGAGTGCTCTAGTGTCCTCATTAGAATGAACAGGATGGCCTATTTTGGTGTCATCAGTAAATTTCCTTATGTTGCTATTTGCTCCCTCATCTATGTTGTTTATGTAAATTGTGAACAACAACGGGCCCAACACTGACCCCTGAGAAACACCGCTTGTGACGTGACCCCATTCTGATTTCTCCCCATTTATGCAAACTCTGCTGCTTATTTTTCAGCCATGCCTCTACCCAGAAAAAAATTTCTCCTCCTATTCCGTGTGCCTGAAGTTTCCTAAATAGCCTCTGGTGTGGAACTCTATCGAAAGCCTTACTGAAGTCCATATACACAATATCATATTCATTACCATGATCTACCTCCTCAAACACCTTAGTGAAAAAAGTTAGTAAATTCCTAAGACAGGAACGTCCCTTTGTAAAACCGTGTTGAGATTCATTAATCAATCTGTGCCTATCAAGATGGCTATGAATTGCTTCGGCAATTATTGACTCCATAAATTTTCCCACTATGGAGGTAAGGCTTATTGGTCTATAGTTCGAAGCCAAGGACCTGTCACCTGCCTTGTAAATAGGTATTACATTTGCCATTTTCCACTTATCAGGCACTATGCCAGTTTGTAGTGATATGTTAAAAAGATTAGTCAAAGGTATGCTAAGTTCCTCTTTACATTCCTTTAACACCCTTGCAAACAGTTCATCAAGGCCTGTGGATTTGTTAGGTTTTAGTTTCTCTATTTGTCTGAGGACCATGTCACTAGTTACTGCAATCATACATAGTTTATTATCCTGTTCTACATAATCTATTATTTCAGGATTATCTCAAGTATTTTCCTGGGTGAAAACTGAGAGGAAGTAGGTATTGAGAATTTCACACATATCCTTATGAGTTGCTCTTAAGTGGGCCTATATTGTCCCTAATCTTACTTCTGTATACCTGAAAGAACCCTTTTGGGTTAGTCTTTGAATCCCTTGCGACCTTAGCCTCAATCCCTTTTTGCTTTTCTTATTCCTTTCTTTATTTCTCTCTCTAATTGAATATATTGATTTCTTAACTGCCCATCCCCCTCTTTTGATATACCTATATATGCCTCTCTTTTGACCAATGAGATGTTTTAATCTATTGTTCATCCATTTGGGATCATTTCTGTTTGATCTAATTTCCCTACTCGGAACAAAAGTTGTCTGGGCAGCTAGAACTATGCTCTGAGAAATGTCATATTGGCAACCAAGATCACCTACCTGACCCATAGTCAGGACATCCCAATTTAGCCCACCCAGGTAATTTTTCAGTCCCATGAAGTCGGCCAAGTGAAAATCTGGGACAGAAATTTGATTGCAGTTATCTGGGTAATTCCATGATATATTGAAACTAAGTGATTTGTGATCACTTTCCCCAAGCTCATCATTAACCACAAGATTATTAATTAGTGAATCTTTGTTGGCAAGAACCAAGTCAAGCAGTTTGTTTCCTCTAGTTGGTTCTGTCACAACCTGTTCTAAAAAGCAATCCTGAACTGTATCAAGAAAGTCACTAGACTCAAGATTTCCTGTCATATTGTTCCAATCATTTCGTCTAAAGTTAAAATCTCCCCTTATCACATTTTCATATCTAGATGCCTTATGAATTCCGTTCCATAACAGCTTGCTGCACTCCCTATAAAGGTTTGGGGGCCTAAAAATCACACCCAAAATTAATTTGTCATGACCCTCAAGAAACTGTAGCCAAACAGATTCTGTGTTTGATGTTTCTTATCTTATATCATGTCTAAGACAACAATTTAAGTTGTCTCTGACATACATCGCCACTCCACCATCCTTCCTGTTGACCCTATCAGTGTGGAATAGTTTATAACCCTGTATGTTGCATTCATAAGGCATTTCTCTATATTTCAGGTTGAACCAGGTCTCAGTTATACCAATAATATCTATATTACCTACACCTGCAAGTAATCTTAGCTCATCTATCTTATTTCTTAGATTCCCACTATTCGTATAGTAAACCTTAAGGGAGCTAGTTACCCGTTGCCCTCTACTATCCCTCTGTTTGTTGATCAATTGATTTGCCATTACTAGCAACTTTTTTTTTAATATTGTCTTTTAAACATATCCCTGAGGTATCCCGGTAATAACTACTGTTTTTAACCCTAATGCTGCAGCCTGATTGTTTCCCACAAACACCCATACCTCTATAATATATCAGTTTAAATTCCTAGACAAGTCATCAATTACCCTCTCAATCAAACTGGCTAATGCAACCACTCCATCCCCAAAGAGATGAACCCCATCCCTTGCATACATATCATATTTGCTAAAGAACAGGTCCCAGTTATCAATGAATGGGATTGCAAGTTCCTTGCAGTACCTGTCTAGCCAGCAATTTATACCAATTGCCCTAGACATCCATTCATTGCCCACTCCCTTTCTAGGCAAGATGCTTAATATGACTGGGATCCCTCCCTTAGACCTAACTACTTCTATGGCTGACCTGTACTTATCCAGCAGCTCCTCTCTCCTGCCCTTCCCAATGTCATTACCCCCAGCACTAAGACAGATAATGGGGTTGTTCCCATTACCTGACATATTATCCAACCTGCTGACTATGTCACCAACACCAGCTCCAGAAAGGCGCACACTCTGTCTGACCTTTCTGTCTCTGTTACAAAATGCACGGCCCATATATCTTACCTGAGAATCACCTACTATTAAAATATTCTTACCTTGATTAGCAGGGGAATCAGTGGTACCTTCAACCTATTAACCACTAAAGTACACTCATCTTGTAGAACAGAGAATCGATTTCCTACCTTCACATCTTCTCTATTAACTCTCCTCATCTTCCTTCTTCCTGAACTGTGAACCACTTGCCACTTAAAGCAGTTGCCACTATCACTGCTGGTGACCATTTCCTCCTTACCAGCTAAATCCTTCTCACACTCGCTCCCAAACTCATCTATGCGAAGCTTCAGCCTCCTATTTTCCTCCTGAAGAAGTAGAATCTCCTTCTTCAACACCTGAACCTGAGATTCTAAAACACTACAACAAGCCATGGTGCTTGGTGACAGCCCACACTAACTCCCAAGAGCTTAGGCAGTATGACCACATGTGACCACTGACCTCAGTGTGTACATGTATGCTTGTGACAGTATGATTACTATTACTATACCAAATGTGTGTGTCTGAACAACAACTGTTTATGAAATCAAAACATTCATTATAAAATATTATTACCACAACATAAAAACTAAGAAAATAAAAAAAACTGGAAAAAATTGCCAGTGCCAGTACTCTACATTGCTCTTGGGTAAGTGTTCAGTGCCAACTTCATTGCTTAATTTTTTTTTTTATCTTTCTTACACACAGAAAATTGTCTCTTTAAATTTTTTTCTTTTCAAAATATTAGAAGCGCTGTTAGTGAAAACGTAGAACTACATTTGGGCAGTGAAAGGGTTAGGAACTAATAGCGGGCAAGAGTGCCAGTAATGGCCAGTGTGGTGAACGAGACAAGATTGTTTTGCCACAATCATAACAATAAATGGAGAATTTTGTAACCAACAAACTGCTATTTCCAAGTTAGTGTGCAACATCAACACCTATCATTCAGAGTGCAGCCACTGCACTTCATACCTCCAGAACCAGTCGTGTTAACCAGTCTTTGAATTTTTTCTTAGAAGTTGCCTTGCTCTCACAAAAAATATTTAAAAAAAAAAAATAATGATCTCACCTATGTTTGTGAAAGAAGAGGATGACTAGCCAGGTGGAAGTGAGTAGAAGTATGGTTATCTCACAGAGCTGGAAAGCCCATGGAATGTGTGGCACATTGTCTAAGAAGATGTCTGGAAGAGGAGGGTGTCTCTCCTGAAACATGTAAAAACACATTCATAGTATAAATATAACCTTAATTTTTGAAAGGGGGTGGACTGGTAAGCCAGTGGAAGGCCACAGTCATATGACCAAAAGTTGCAGAAATGGGTCATCATATGATTAAGACCAATGTCAAGAAACACTTGTCCTGTTTCCTGACAAATTTTACCTAATCTAACCTTAACAGTCTTTACTAATGAAAACTGGTGAAACTACAGTAAACCTTCAATATAATGGACTGTTTAAATTGCACTTTTAGCTCTATTTTTAATATTTACTGCAGTACAGTGGACCCCTGCCTTACAATATTAATCCGTTCCTTAGAGTTCATTGTAAACCAAAATTATCGTTAGCCGAATTAATTTTCCCCATAAGAAATAATAGAAATCAAATTAATCCGTTCCTGACACCCCAAAGCACGAAAAAAAAAATTGTTTTACCACATGAAATATTAATTTTAATACACACAAACTGAAGAAGACATGCACAATTACTACTTTACTAAGAACAGAATACATGACACTTACCTTTATTGAAGATCTGGTGATGATTGATGGGATGGGAGGAGGGGAGTGTGTGGAAGTTATTGTTTAGAAGGGGAATCCCCTTCCATTAGGACTTGACGTAGCAAGTCCTTTTCTGGGGTTACTTCCCTTCTTCTTTTAACCCTTTGACTGTCGCAACCCCCAATCCTGAGGGGTCTCCTGGTGTTGCAAAATTTAAAAAAAAAAAAAAAAATATTTTTTCATATGAAATGATAGAGAATCTTTTCCCGATTGTAATGACGCCAAAAAAAAACAAAATTTGATGGAAAACTGATGGAATTATGCTCTCGCAAAGTTAGCGACCTCGGCGCTGTTTACAAATAGGCGGTTTCGCCCACTTTGAGCCCTATTTTCATTGTTCCAGTCGCCCAAACTCATAGCTATTTCTTTAGAACTCCATTTTTTCTATCGATTGAGTACAAGAAACTGCCCATTTACCGATTTCAACTACCAAATAATGTGGTCAGAAATTTGCAATTTGGCCAATTTCACAAAAACTAAAAAATATGACAATTTCAAAATAAGGTCCAGAATGAACAATGCAGACATCCCTGGCTCTAAAATAACATTTTCTTTGCTCATCAGTCATGTCTCCAGGCACCTCTGATATTACTCTTGCTTTCTATTTTGAATTTTTATTCAAACAAAAAATAGAAGACTTACTATTATGCAGACTACTGCAATACTGTAATAATTGTATAAATAACATCAACCCATTCATGACTGCATATTAGAATGGCTAGTTGGACATTTATTGGACAATGGCATCATTTGTTTACTTTTGAACATTGGCAAAAATCAAACATTTCCTCTACTTTGAGCTCCATTTCAAGGTTCTTTTTATAGTAAAATCAATCAAAATCACCTCTATTTGTATAATATGTTTTCCATTCTATCAAATGAGACCAAGAAAACGAGAATACACCCATAAATACTATACGAAAATAGACCACAAAGTCGGCATTTTAATTTAAAAAAAACGGTCGGAGTTTTTTTTTTCTCATTATGCACTGCGTACTCCAGGATTTTTTTATATGCTGCACACTAACCACACAGACCCATTCTCTCACATGTGGGCCTACCAGCTTTCTCCTGCTTGATTTGAAGCCGCTAGAATTTATGAGTATATATACATCAAACACGGTACCTCGTAAGACGTATATATACGGCCACGACAGTCAAAGGGCTAATGCCACTAGGACCAGCTTGACCTAGGTAGTAGGTTGATAGACAGCAACCGCCCAGGGAGGTACTACCGTCCTGCCAAGTGATTGTAAAATGAAAGCCTGTAATTGTTTTACATTATAGTAGGATTGTTGGCGTCCTTTTTTTTTCTGTCTCATGAACATGCAAGATTTCAGGTACATCTTGTTACTTCTACTTACACTTAGGTCACACTACACATACATGTACAAGCATATATATACACATCCATCTGGGTTTTCTTCTACTTCCTTTCTAGTTCTTATTCTTGTTTATTTCCTCTTATCTCCATGGGGAAGTGGAACAGAATTCTTCCTCCGTAAGCCATGCGTGTTGTAAGAGGCGACTAAAATGCTGGGAGCAAGGGGCTAGTAACCCCTTCTCCCATATAAATTACTAAATTTAAAAAGAGAAACTTTTGTTTTTCTTTTTGGGCCACCCTGCCTCGGTGGGATACGGCCGGTTTGTTGAAAGAAGAAAGGACCAGCTCGAGTCACTAGACCTCTGTCACACAACAAATCTGTCCATAGAGCTCTGTACCTCCCGTTCCCTTAAGACTTTCCTAAAATGGGCCATAACACTGTCATTGTACAGATTGCCAACATGGCTTGCAGTAGCCGTGTCAGGGTGATTTTCATCCATAAAGGTTTGCAGTTCAACCCACTTTGCACACATTTCCTTAATCTCTTTTTTTTAATTCCATACTAATTCTTGCCCCTTTTTACTATAGGGATGGCACTAGAAGCTTTCTTGGGGTCCATGGTGACTTACTTTGCAGTTACAAGCTCTAAAAACACTGGGATAATGTACCAAATGTATGCGTGGATGCAACCGCACTGGCTGGCTTGTAAACACAGGCGCTGAGGCCACACGTGGGATGCGTCCCGGACGAATCACCTAAGGCAAGTTTTATATCATGAGGCGAGGCAAAATTTTTGCATTCAAATGCTTCGTATGGCGGATTTAATGTAACGCGATGCGTTCGTAAGGCGGGGCTCCACTGTATATCCATAATTGTGTACAGTTCTATATTAGCTAGAGTACTTGTGTATAGCACTATACTAGGCACAGTACAGTGGACCCCCGCATAACGATTACCTCCGAATGCAACCAATTATGTAAGTGTATTTATGTAAGTGCGTTTGTACGTGTAAGTTTGGGGGTCTGAAATGGACTAATCTACTTCACAATATTCCTTATGGGAATAAATTCGGTCAGTACTGGCACCTGAACATACTTATGGAGTGAAAAAATATCGTTAACCGGGGCTCCACTGTACTTGTGTACAGTACTATGCTAGGCAGAGTATTTCATTGTGTATAGCACTACACTATGCCTAGTACTTGTTTACAATACTATACTAGGCACAAAGTACACCTACCATCCGACTTATGACCGAGTTCGGTTCCGAGAAACTGGTCGTCAGTCGAAATGGATGCAAGTCGAACTTTACTACTGAATATCAACATCACATTTTTGTAATGACTTTATTTTATTGTTTTATTTTTGTATTTCATGTTTTACTTTACTTTTTATGCTGTTAGTACTGTATTTTACACTAAGGTTTAGGATAAACACTGTGTACAACACAAATAGTTGTTTATTTCCCAGAAATCTGGCAAAAAAAATCACGGTCGTAAGTCGAGTGGTCGTAAGTCAAGCAGGTCGTAAGTCGGATGGTAGGTGTACTTAATTGTGTACAATACTATAGAGTAGGGCCCCGCTTTACAGTATTCCACTAATACGGGCATTTCTAAATTATGACCAAAACTCTCTATATGGTTCTCCCACCCGACTAATACGGTCACCGCTGGCCACCTGGTTTGTTTACATTCTCCCTGAGTATGTCTCACTTTTCAAAATTTCAAGTGTTTGAAAGTTATGTCGTATTTTATATAAACTCTGATAATTATACTTATGTGCACCTGTACCTAAATAAACTTACTGCGCTGGCATGCAGGTACATGTTAAAATCACAAAGTGTCTTATTCGTCTTGAAATGCCATACCAATAATAAAAATAAAAATAATAATAATAATAATAATAATAATAATAATAATAATAATAATAATAATAATAATCACTCTGAGGCTCATTAAATGTCGCAAATTATGTTAATATAGACATTTAGATTAATCCATCTATGATTTTTTCAAAATTATATAATAAACATGCTACGTAACACAAACACGATAAATACACCCACGGTAGAATAAATTTACATAAATATGAGACGTTTCCTCAGTCTCGTCGGTGTCTGAATGAATAACATTTTCTCTAGTACAGCACCAAAGAAAATGTGTAAACAATATTACCAGCGGTAACTGTAGAAAATTATTCATTTCATATGCGTTCACTCAAACTAGTATTTAGTCACTTGGCCATAATACCAACTTACTCCATAATTTGTAATAATTTAGAGTTAAGAATTAATCTAAGTCTGCCCGAAATGCCTAGCCATGCTAGGTGTCCTAGTGGCCCCCTCTGTAATTAGTATTTTATTACATGTAAACCACACAATAACCAAAATCTGTAAACCCCGCATTGTAATCCTTATAGAGAATAAACTTGATTGATTTTAAAAATGGTGTGTTACATGAAAATGGGAGTGCTGCTCTTTATTTATTCTACTTTACCAATTTGGAGACAACTTGTACACTATGCAAGGTGTTTGTATTATGGTATAAGCTTCACAAACATGGAAATGAAAGTGTATCAACCATAACCAGACGTATTTGTCTGATTGTTTACATACTCCACGTCTCTTGTCCTTTCTCATTTATTCATTATCTCGTTTACTCACTTCTCACTCTAAGACTACAAATATTTTAAGGTAAGTAATGAGTGTACTGTATATGCATTTTATCACTCTAGGGAGCTTTAACCATTTGACTATCGCAGGCCCCTTTCTGAAACTGTCATTCTGTCACAAAATGTTCGAAAAAAAAAATATTTTTTTTCTTACCAAAATGTTAGGATTATTTTACTAAGTGTTTTAAGCCTAAAAAAATTTTTTTGCCCTCAGTACTTACCAAGATACAGAGGTGCAAAGTTGGCAGAAAATGAGCGGTGTATGGCAACAGCAGCGAATGCCGCCCACCCGGTATTCTTTTATTTACTCCAATTCGAAGGTTTCTTGTATTTTCCAATATTTTTCTTTTCTAAGTAACTTATGTGGCCTGTGAGACCAAAGTAAGGTGCATTGTTCAAATATACACTCATTGTTTACCACACAATAACTGAACA